CCGTTTGAAAAAGAATATCCATTCACTATTCAAAGATAGTACTCCGGGAAGAGTACTTGATGCCTCTTGGAAGAGGACTTGGTGCATCGTAGAAGAAGACTTGATGCCTCGTGGAAGAGAACATTTCTTTCTTTTATTTTTTTAGTGCCTCGTGAAGAAGACTTTCTCGGGGCTTGGTGCCACTTGAAAGAGTACTTTTCTCGAAGATTGATGTCTCTTGAAAGAGGACTTTCTCGGAGATTTTTGTCTCTTGGAAGATGGCTTTTATATGGGATTCGTGCATCTTGGAAGAGAACTTTTCTCGGGGCTTGGTGCCTCTTGGAAGATGGCTTTTATGTGGGATTCAATTCGTACATCTTAGAAGAAAACTTTTCTCGGGGCTTGGTGCCTCTTGGAAGAGAACTTTTCTCGGAGATTTCTGGCTCTTAGAAGATGACTTCTTTCGGAGCTCACTGTTCAATATTCTTTTGGAGCCTCTAAACCGCCACCCGATATCCATCTCACAGTGGTTGGGCACTCCACTTTTGTTGAATGATAGATAATTCCCGCACATCTCTCTCTATGATGTCCTTTCTCTATCTTGGTACGAGAATCTATGGATACATCAAGTAATACAATCACCTAACTTAAATTTGATCGAACTACTAATTTTTTTTCTCTTTTTTTCTTTCTTAACTTGTTTAACACATTCTTAACTTGTTTAACACATTTAGTGCTCAAGGATGAGGCTTGATGAAGCTCTATGCATCTCTCGAGAGCTCTCATGGGCTAGCTTGATGTGAGTCTTGCTTGCTGGACCACGAAGACATGGCGAAGCTTGCCTGCGTTAGAGGGAGCCCAAACGTTATTCGTGTGGTTCGCACAGAGGCTCGTGATAGGGGCTCGGAATTGTTGTTGGACCACCCTTGGAGGTTCGCTAAAGGAGCGCCGTGGAAGGAGAGGCTCACTGTTGCTGAACCGTTGAAGAGGCTTTCTAGCCACTTGGACCGCAGCTAGGTTCTGAATTACTCGTTGGACCACGGCAGAGCTCGATGGGGCTCACCTATACTAGAGGGAGCTCGGCGGAGCTCTATGGGGCGGCTGCCATGGCTCGAAGATGAAGGGCTCACCGTTGCTGCCCGTGGTTCATCGGTGGAAGAGGGAGCTCGACGGAAGTGTCTCGCTGGACCGCTGCTGGAGTGGCTTGCAGGAGCTCTGTGGAAGTGGACCGCTCGAGGAGTCTCGCGCTGGACCGCTGCTCGTAGCTCGCTGGTGGGAGGAGGGAGCTCGCTTGAGGCTCATCGGAGCGGAGGAGGCTCGCTGCTACCGGCTATGGCTCGCCGGCGAGAGGCTCAATGCTCTTGGCTAAGGTTGTTGGAGGAGGACGCTCGTCGGCCCGTTGGACCACAGGATTTGCTCGCTTGGGAGAGGCTCTCCGGAGAGAGGGTTGCCGCTGTGGATCGCGATCCATTGCTTGGAAGAAGAGAGAACTCGCCGAAGAAGAAAGGGACACAGATCAGTGCCACTCCTTTCTCTCATTCTCATAATCACTTTTCAATATATAACCATATCTTTTTATTTTTTAATTTAGGATCATTGATTATTATCTATTAGTCATTATTCAACTAAATATCCAGCATTATTCAGACATTATTCTTCTCACTAGTAATTATTAAGTCCTATTTAGGAAATATAAAAAAATTCAAGTACTACATTCAAAAATGACTTATGTTTTAGTCCTATTTCGTGCAAATTTCACTTTTCCTTTTTGCTTTTCCCGTTTCTCTTTTGGAAAATCAATTGAACCCTTCTTTTCCCTTCCTTTTTCTTTTTCGATTAGTACTCTCTCCATTCTTTATTCACATGTGTAGGATCGTTTTTTTGGAACTTCCAGCACGCTTAACTACAGAGTTCTGAAGTTAAAGAGTTGTCAAATGCTTCTTAAAACCAATTGGTGATAGGGAGGAGGATACTTTATATTTAACCACATCTCTCTGTAGCCCCAAGCCGAGGTAGATTCCTATAGGGCACCCCATATAGTTCACTACGGCAGTGCGGAGCCCCACTACTGAGCGGTGGATGGACAGGAGGGGTTTCGCAAGATACACGACTCATGTACCTCGTCAGGTTAGGCTGTCAATACCCGATACCGTGACAAGCACAGTAGCAAATTCCTAAGGGTGATCGATGGTCCCCCATAAGACCAACAATCTCCCCCCCAGCGACACCCGGGGGATTCGAGCCTGCTTCATCGCTCCGATACCACTTGTAGGATCGTTTTTTTTTTTGAAACTTCCCAGTGGGTCACCCATCTTGGGACTACTCCCGTTCCAGCACGCTTAAGTACAAAATTCTGAAGTTAAAGAGGTGTCAAATTCTTCCTAAAACCAATTGGTGATAGGGAGGAGAATGCTTTGTATTTAACCACATTTCTCTGTAGCCCCAAGCCGAGATAGATTCCTATATGGCACCCCCTATAGTTCACTACAACAGTGCAGAGCCCTACTACTGAGCGGTGGATGGACAGGAGGAGCTTCGCAAGATACACGACTCATGTATCTCGTCAGGTTGGGCTGTCAATACCCGATACCGAGACAAGCACAATAGTGAATCCCTAAGGGTGATCGATGGTCCCCTATAAGACCAACAACATGGTCAAACTTTATTCACTTTGTTAGCATATTTTCGTCACCCATTTGATAAAATAATATAGTCATGTCGCCTCTAGTTTTGTAGATCTTCTGATATAGTTTTTTAATATGTAATTTTTATTTTTAAATTTTACACCATTTTTCATATAAAATGATTTAAAACTAACTTCAGTCAAACATCGTAACGCACAATAAGAAATTTATTTGTAGATGGAGGGAGTAATTTTTTTCTTTAACTTTCTCTCACACTCATTTTTTACCTCTCTCGGTAAATATTGTAGGAACAAAAAAAAAACAATACTCCCTAGCTCTTTGTAATGGTCCACGGATTGCACCAGTGATGGAAACCTCTTTTTCGGGGCGTCGACCAGACGGACTCGGTAGCGAGTCGGCACCGCACCGAAGAGTGAAATTCGGTTAATAAATAAATAAAACAAATAAAAAGTACTTATACGTGAAAACTTAAATCGGAAGAAAATCACTGGCCTTTTTAGGCGGTATCATGCCAGTGTGAGACACTTTTATTAATCTTAGGAGAATTTATATATATATACATCACTGTGGAAATTTAGAGTCATTGAAGGAACTCTTAAACTCAAAGGGAAGAAGGAAGATGAATAATACTAGTAGTAGTAATAGGAGCTTCTCTTTCTCCACTTTTCTCTCGTAGCTTCCATTTAAAGGGGATGGAGAGTAACTGATGGAGACTAAAGGCGGCCTCCTCTATGTGAAGCCCACGTGGCTTTAATGTGAGAATGTTCCATGGGTTCTGCTAAATATTTTTACATCACTTCAAATATATTCTTCTGTCTAAATATTTCTAGTTTTGTCTTTAATAATTTATCTGATTTGTATCTTGGGCTGAACTCAACTGGACTTACTCGTACTGTTCAAATAATATTGGATTAGAAAAAATCTATAATCTATCAACATATTTTTAGTTTTTTGTTTATGAGTGCCTTTCCTCGGATAATAACTTTTTTCCGTTCATCATATTGATAATAAATTGAGAGGTAAAATATATACGGAGTATGTAATTTCATGTAGAGTCGCCACCACCGCAACCATAGTCGTGCGTAATCTAAGTCTGCAGTCATAGTTATTGTTATTGTGTTGTCTGTCAAGTCGACAAGAGAATACATGAACAAGCTTAAGTCGATGTGAAAATTACAATTTTAACTCTTAATTCAACACCAAAATAATATAAAGTTAAACAAATTACTATCCATAAAAAATAGAAAAAAAGACTAACGTACAAGAAAAACATTCAAAATATGCTAAAATAAAAGTTTATATTTTTTTCTGAAATAAAAGTTAAAATGCACATATAATCATGACCAAATACATTAGCAAAGAGTATTGTGAAATATTTATATATAATACAAAGTATCATATTACTACAATGCAAACTCTTATTTTTGGGATAAATTAATGAAACTTCTTTTTTGATACTTTCTTTATATTTTGCCTCTATTTAAAGCATCTCCAATGAAATGCCCACAATAGATACTATGAGTAGAGAGTGTGAGATGTTGATGAGTGCTATTATTGTAGGTGGGTGCCCATTAGAGATGTCCAAGGAAGAAAAAGAAAAGCTAGATGCTTCACATAACACCGATGCTTGAGGAGAAATGATTTAATGCATTTATTTATTTAGTTTTGTGGTCCAATGATTATGTGTCATGTGCCACACATATATATACTCAAATCTTTTTTAGGCATCCAAATGAGATGCTACCATTGAAAGAATGGAATGTTGAGAGAAATGCTAGAATGTCATCTTTATTGTGGAGCTTACACTTGGGCATCCAATAAGAGATGTTGCCACTGTGGATGCTCTTAGAATGATTTCTTAAAAAAATATTCATGTATCAGTGAATACAAATATAATACTCAAGTACTACTTTCGTCCCACTGTCTTTGTCCACTTTTGACTTTTGGAATTGTTCATCTAAGCACTTTGACTCATCAAATTCTCTCAATGTGTAAGCCTAAATATAGTCAAATGTGATCTTGTTTGATTTGTCTTAACATATACTCCGTATATTATTAATATATAATTTCTATAATTTTTTAATGTACAAATTACAAGATAAAATGGATTAAAGAAGTACATTAGATGGTATGTCAAAAGATAAATAGTCAAAGACAATAGGACAGAGGAAGTATTTGATAATAGAATGCCAAATATAGAAAATTTACCTTTAAATGACCATCTTTATTTTACCACCAACATTATCAAATTACTCTGCAACTTTTTCTTCCGTTTAAGGGAAAAAGAGAAAGTACCAAATACGGAGTACTCCATATAATCAGACACAGAAAGGAATAAAACAAAAGAAAGAAAGAAAGAAAGAACGAAAGGTGACTGGGGACCATATCTTAATGGCTATGAGGTGACAGTTGCCGAAACGCATTAAATTCTCTACGATCCGTTGAGGGGCTAAGTTTGCGGGAGCCGGAAACGGACCTGAGACGCCGGGCACTTGACGGCGACGCCGTGCCAGCAGATGCCGCCGCTACACATCTCATTCCCGTCGAGATCACCCTGCCGGCGGCCGAGACGGTGACGGCAGCGGCGCGTTAGCGCGTACGAAGCCTTTCGCGACACGTCCCACGTGAGGCTGGCGACCAGCAGAGCACCGACGGTGGCCGTGGAAACCGCCAAAACAAATGCTCCGCCGTAGATTCGGCCGGTGACGGAGGCGTACGCTTTCATAGCGACGATCGCGGCGAGGTACAGCGTCGTCAGATTCCCCACAACCGCATCGGAGATCGCCATTCCTTTTCCGATCTCCTCCTCAAAGCGAATGCATTGAAATTCGAAATCGAAGCGCAATTCCTGAAATTAAACAAAAGAGATTAAGGATCGCGAAGGGGAGGAGTACTGAGGATTACGGAATCGGCGTCGACGATTGAGCTTTTACGGAGTCCGGAGATTGGTGGATTTGGAGGTTTCTAGAAAGAAGAAATGCAGGCGTCATCATCATCATATCATTCTGACACTGCAGATTCAAACCGGCAGCTTTCTATAATTGGTGGATTGAAAGGTGATAATAACTGCAGTGGAAACCGGTAAAAAAGGTAAACATTCCACCCGAAATTTAGAAGGAAAATCTAAAATGATTTTTTTTGAAGAGATTTAAAATCATTTTAATAAGTTATGAGCGTGGGTGGTGACCGACAACGAGCGTCGGTTGGCGGTAACAACAATAGTCCGTGATGAGAAATGATCTACAGTTGAGAGAGATATCAAATCTCATATTGATGTCGTCCATTCTAGTACATTTACATTACAAATAAATACAGAAAAAAAATTATTATGAAATTTTTTTCTATAATTTTTATTTAATAAATATTCAAAGTTTATCAAACTTAATTCTAAAAAGTCAAAATTAAGGGAATACTCTAACATGACACTATTACTTGATGACATCCAACGATCCTCATTTACCAGAATTTAAAAAATGTAGATCAAAGAATATTCGTCGAAGTATCTTTATTTGGTTTAAATTTTACAAGTCAATTTAGATGAACTTTAATTATCAAATACTCTCATTTTATATTGCATATTAATACAATGAAATCAAATTTTGAAAGTTTTCAAGAATATACATCTAATTAAATCATTTTTATACTAATATATATATATTATAATTATTATTTAATTGAAGTTAAAAAATCTATTAATTTTCACCTAAAAAAAATAAAGTAGCCATATATACAAAGACAACAGTAATACTCTATTTTTTTAGTACAGTAATGATGATGATATACAGAGTATTACCTACTCGTTTTACCAAAAGTTCACACTTTTCTGTTTAAGATGTCAAAAAAACTTACACTTATAGAGAGTAATTGTTTTGTTCTTTTAAGAAAATAAATATGTGACTCATTATATATTTCCTTCTTCTTTACACACTCCAGCCATCCGCCTTTAGACTTTTTAAAAAATCGTGTAAAATTAAACTTTGAACTTCTTTATGGGGAGATGGAAGCAATAATAATCTTATTTCTCATTTCATGTATGCTACTCATGCAAGAGATGTTTTTTTCTATTCATTTTGGAAAACAGTGAGGTTCTAGTGACACCGAAGCACGGTGACACTCCGGCGCCACTGTCATTTTGGAACACATCCAGTGCTCTATTCGTAAAACTAACGATTCTTATCCCCTAACCCACCCCCTAAACCCCCCCACCCCTGCACCCCACCCCTGCCCCGCCGTAAGCCCCCCACAAAATGTGTGGCTATTATGCAATGCATAATAGCCACAAAATGCATAATAGCCACACATTTTGTGGGGGGCTTACGGCAGGGTTGGGGTGGAGGTGCAGGGACGGGGTTAGTGTGGGAGGTTTAGGCGGTGTGTTAAGGGTGGTAGGAACCGTCAATTTTACGAACGGAGCACCGGAAGTACCTCAAAATGACAGTGACACCGCTAGTGTCACCAAAGGTGGGTGTCACTAGAACCCCACCGTTTTTCAAAACATCATTTCAATTCTAAACTATAAGCCTTCCTACGTAAATACAACACTTCAAAATGAAAAGGACACCAAGGTATATCCACATGCCCTCAGCATAAGGGATACACACACAAGTGAAAGCAATTTGAAGAGAAAGAATAATACTCTAATAATATAAAGTGTGTTTGATTATATATGCACCTGATCAAGGGCTCAAAACTTTGAGCCTAAACCGTCTAGAATGTCCAACAAATTAGCCGTGGGACATTCTGGCACGGTACGTGGAGAGCTACCAGTGCTCCGACTAAGCGCCCAAATCTGTCTCCCCTTGTTGGAAATGACAAACTCTTGGCTTTTGCTCATTCCAGAAACAATATTTCTCCTTTTCATGGCTTCTTCCAACAATGCCTTGTCTTCTACAGAAAGCTGACCATTGTTCTTTTTCTGGTCATTGGGGCTCAATATTTCTGCAGCGTGCGAATTAGAAAGACAAGGAGGCCCTCTGCAAGCCGCTGATCTTCCCGGAGGGATCCTTGGGCCCTTGTATCTTACCAGCCCAATAAGGCGGTGGAGCCAAGTCACAATTTCAAGGATAAAAGTGTCCATTTTCTTCTTGTCTGCGTGGTAGAGTGTCTGCAAGCGGATCAGGTTGTTCTGAATTGTTGTCTTCCTCCCAAATTCGCTTCTGCATTATTATCAAAGGAAGATGATCATGATAATAATAATAATAATTAACACCTTTAACTCTTTCAGAGATTCTTCAAGAAAAGGTTTAAAATAATGGAAAATTCAAGAGCAAATCCTAGACTGACCCGGTGGCCCACTCTCCAACCCATCCAAAACCTTGATGCACTCTGCACCGGCAGCAGAAGGAAAGAATTAATCAGTCAAGTTCCAGTTATCGGTTTTCCATTAAAATCTACAGAGTATTTTAGTTTTGGAGTATTTTTAACCAAGACTCCAGTTAAATTTAAGGTAAAAAGAACAGGGCCATACTCTATATAAGAGATAAAGATGTTTACCATGTAATCTTATGTAATTCTCTGATGGGTAAAACTGGGAAAAAGGTTATAAATGCTTTCTATATTTACTACATGGGCAGATAAGAAGTACCACACAGCTTCAAAAACTGCACACAGATGAATTGGACCAATAAACAGTGATTTGTCACATACTTTGAAGTATCAACAGCTAGTGGAACAAGCCACTGGAGAGTCTTCTCCATTTCAGCCTTGATTTGCTGAACTGTTAGCTGCAAAACTCCATCATAGAACGAGTAAGTGGGGATATGCAATAGAAGAAACAGAGGGAAAAACAGGCAGAAATGAACAAACAAGTCTAGAGAAATCAACCTCTTCCTCCTTCGTATCAAGTGCCTGTAACCGAGAACGGAGTTCTGTCTTTACAACAGGTGGCAACCCATTGTACAGCGTATCCCTTGTGTTCGGTGGAAGAGAGGTGGGGCGTGAAGCCTAACATTACATTGAGTCTCATTAGAGTAAACACAAACAGTACCCTGGAGGACCATTTCCACACAATTGAATTTTTTGTACTTACAATGTTATCTATTTGAGTGATTAAGTTAGCATAATGCAAAGCAAGACCAGCAGCACCTAACCTTTCTGGTTTCACCGGAGGCTCCTTCCCCACATGCTTTAGTGCTTGTAAAATAAAAAAGTATCAACAGACTAACAGAATGGATTTTATTGAGCACGGCATACACTCTGTATTGTGCAGTTCTACCATAGTTAGCAATTATGGAGTACTTTTGCTCATAACAAAAACAAAATGACAGGCTTCTAGATGAATACAAAGATCAAAGCTAGTACCTACTTTCAAGCTTGTTGTGTTTGCTAATTGGACAATTATTTGTCAAAACAATGTCCTTAGTAGTTAATGGAGGAGCCGTTCTATCCTACATAGGTAAAAGAATACTATATAACCATTTGTCAATGGAGACTTATATGTACACTAATCAGAAATGAATTTCTCACTAAATAGAAGTTATGTACTAAGTAATCACACATGAGCTGCTCACTAAATGAGCTGTCATTACACTAGAGAAAACTTATATGGTCACTAGCTAGAAAGGAATTGTTTCCTAACAGCGATTCAGCAAATGTATAATATTCTTGTACCTACGGTTGTACGATAGAATTTCCATGGATGGAAAGTTACTAGAGAACAAAGAGAGTAAGAAACAAGATAAAGAACAATCATGGCAGAAGTATACCATCATTTACAAATGCTTCATGAATGGAAAGTTACTAGAGAACGAAGAGAGTAAGAAACAAGAAAAAGAACAATCATGGAAGAAGTATACCATCATTTACAAATGCTTCCAAGATCTCTTGATGAATGAAGGTTACGGTATCAACAAGTTTACCCACAACCTACAATGAGAAAGTATAGCATCACTAAGTGGATAATTGCACATTCATACTCTGTAGCAAGTTTACACTCAAAAAGCTTTCTGCTATCACCTGTGTCAAGCTTTAAGGAAGTTCTAGATAGACTTCTAGTAAGACTAAAAAACAAGTAAATATAACTGAAGGACACATCCTTGGATATAGTTCAAGAAAAAAAATGTTTTTTGGTGGGGGAGGGGGAGGGGAGGGGGGGTTACCTCTTCTAAATTTTTGGACCAAAGAGATTTCTTTTTTAATCCCCTCACGATTTTACTTTGATGTTTAACATCACTGTGCAACATCATTACACTCTCTCCTACAAAGACAAACCATATATCAGTTATAGAAAAGGAACTCAATTCATCAGTCATAACTCGTAACTCAAAAAAGAATATAAGTCTCAAGTGATCCATATTCCATAATGAACCTTTCTTAGGAAGACTTAAAGACTCTAATTCCTCAATTTTCCTTCTGTAATCTTGTTCAAACCGGTCCATGGCATGCAACTCATGATACAATTCCTGACACAGAATACGGATCCAAAAAAATCCTTCAATTCTAACCATGTGATTCTATAGAAGTACGGAGTATTCAAAGCACCTAAAAGACAATCTTACAGAAGTATGCTGAGCAAGAGTGCAAAGTTCTTGCATAGTCGTATTAACTTCCTCTCTGAGTTTTTTGTGACTTACACCCGATAGAGGTTCAGAATCCAACCTGGTCAGAGGAAAGCACATTACCGTACGCCCACAGTATATGACAACTATCTACGCTATTCAATAAATAAAAACATCTGACTTACTTTGAAAAGAACCGATCAAGGTTATGCCACTGTGGATCTTTACACAGATTTCCAAACCTCACTACTTCACGAGAGAAAACTTCAAATTCCTCCCTATAATGCACGTATAATGTTAGGATGTGGTAATTCTCAAGAGGACTTTGAAAGTTCTCAAAGGCTTAAGGTCGTTAACTTAATTAAGGTCCCTCCCAATTTTGTTTTGCTAGCAGTTTTTAGGTTCCAAATGGGGAAGAATAGTTCAAACATATTGTTAAGTTTTCCTTGTTATCATTATGGATGCAGGGGGAGGAGGGGGGGGGGGGGAATTTAACAAAAAAATACACACCTTTTGTCAGCAGCAGCTATAGCAAGAAGCTCATTGGAATCTGTAGAAACCAGCTCTTGCACACCTTTTGAATGTAGAATTTCGCGCTTTAAATACTGGACACTTTCTTCGGATAATGAATGCAATAAATTTGCACCTTTAGTGATTGTGTTTGCGACTTCAAATGCAAGTATAGATATTCTGTTCCCTCTTGATCCCGTCCTAGAAATAAATCCAATGGTGTTCAAATTTGTCANGGGGAATTTAACAAAAAAATACACACCTTTTGTCAGCAGCAGCTATAGCAAGAAGCTCATTGGAATCTGTAGAAACCAGCTCTTGCACACCTTTTGAATGTAGAATTTCGCGCTTTAAATACTGGACACTTTCTTCGGATAATGAATGCAATAAATTTGCACCTTTAGTGATTGTGTTTGCGACTTCAAATGCAAGTATAGATATTCTGTTCCCTCTTGATCCCGTCCTAGAAATAAATCCAATGGTGTTCAAATTTGTCATGCTGCTGCCTAATGTATCTAGAACCTCGACTGCCATATCTAGGCCAACTGTGCTAGCCTTACCAAGAAAAGAACCAACGTGAGGTGCCTGTCACAAGAAGATTAGGTTACTCATATGCAGTGCGAAGATAGAAAAGGGAACAAAACCATTCACTGCTTACAAATTACTAGTCTTATATACTCTCAATTTTTTTTCTATTCATACACAAAAACCAAAATTCTCTAAAGGTTTGCTTGGATAAACAGTTTTGGAGGGGTTTGGACTTTAAAGTCAAGTGCTAAACCCATTTCTTTAACATAGTTAAACTGTTTCCTATAACCCCCTCGTACATAGTATCAAGTATTTATTATCAGGTACTTATGTGCCCTCAATAACAAAAAATGAATTGCTCACTAAATAGAACAAAACTTTGCACCACACAAATTTTATATGCTCACTAATCAGAAAGGAATTGCTCACAAACTTAAAGTGTGTACAAGAATATAATATTGTGGGAGTGGTTGATTGGTTGTACAATGGAGTTACTAACATAATTTTAAACCACACTTTATTTGCTTTTAGAAAAATTCTATTTATCAAGATATAGACTAAGCCAGTGAAAACTAAAGGTCTAAGATGTTTGATCACATTATCTATATACTACGTATAAGTCTAAGCAAATACGGAGTACTACATTAGAGTAGGTCTAAGATGTTTGATCACATTACCTATATACCACGTTCAATACATTAAGACCTCATAAAAAGCCTTTTGAATGGAATAATATATTGTTCTGTGCTAAGGATAAGCACCCACAAGTATGATATTCAAAAAAATAAAAAAAAAGTGCCCTTTTGGTAACAACTTCAGCATTTTAAAAAGCCTATGTAACGGTAGTGTTTAGCTTTAACATTTTCAAAGCTAAAATTACCGAAACACTAGAGCAAATTAAAAAGGTTGTTCCCGAACCGGGCCAAAACCGCATATCCAAATGCTCATATACCTTGGTACTAGTTCTGATCCTGGCAGGAGTTGAAGGCTTCAACTCTCTAGAGATGGACAGGGGGAATTCACCAGAATCATGGAGATGGTCATTATAATCACGGGCACTCCCGGTCGTGCCCTCATCCAGTAGATATTCAGCAGATTCAACATTGCTGTCCTCTTTCAGGAAACTCTTCATAGATTTGAGCTTCTTAGAGCCCACTGAGTTCCTCTCTTCATGAACCTCCGACCTATTCCTCTGAGTTCCTCCTGCGCACACTGCTCCCATCCTTCCTTCCCCCAACTTGAGCAAAAATAAAAAATTAAATACAGAATCCAAATTTCATCCAACCTCTGACCTATCAAAGAACCCGAAATGATCAGAACAAGAACATATTCGACTAAATCCGAGTTAAAACAGCTGGATCTTCTGAATCTTCCCATATTCGAAAAGAAACGATAGCATATTCAGTATACGAATACAATACCTCGCGATTGGAAGAAGGAAAGGCGGGATCCTTATGGGTGTGAACGGAATTGAGCTCGGATTGGGCTATTTTGCTTAAAATTTCATCTTTCTTCTTTCTTCTTCTTTCTTCTTGGTTTTGTTTTGTTTTAGCTTTCGAGGACTGGGGGTGGGTTTGACTGATCAAAAAACTGGAAACACCCCAAAGAGAAGAGAGAAAGAAGAAAAACGGATTCTTTGTCAGAACTGAGAAGAAAATGTAACAGAGCCCGGGGCCAAATAGGAAGAAAGGGTGGTCCAACTGTGCAAAAAGTCAGTCATGCCCGCTGGGTCCTTTTTTTTCTTGGCTCAGCTTAATGTTTACATTTTGGAAGCAAGCTAGCCAGCCATTAACGTGTTTACAAAGGTAAACAAAGTGCTAATTTGACTTGTATGGAGTACAAAGGTTGGCAATGAACTTTAAAATCGGCTCCCTCTCTGTTCAAGGAGGATACTGTTTTAATTGTTGATAATTTATATCTTTATTATTCTTAGATAAACTTCTCGTTCTAACCTCAACTTATTCCCTACTCACATCAATTACATCCAAAAATTTAATTGATTTTAGGATCAAAACTTTTGACATATAAATTAATTAAACTCACGGAGTGCAATAATTGACATAGATGGGGGAATGGGTTAGGATCAAGATTGGGTGGAAGGAGGGGTTTACTGGGAGTAAAAAGGAAATATGAACTTTTAATTTTGTAAACTTTCAATTATCGAGTGTCTTTCATAGTTACTCAAAGAGAATGGCCACAAAATCAACATGTTTAAAAATTTGTTGTTAAACAATGCTTAAAAAAAATAAAAGTTGAGGGGGGGAGTTTAGATAATATTTCTAACCTTTTTTTCAGTTAGCACCATCTATGTGTGTTTATCTTAACCTAGACTTGATGTTATTGGCGTTTGTTGAGGTCGCACGAGTAGCATCAGAGTGGGATAGAAGCGGGACGGTTGAAGAGAGGCGAGGGCGAATTGTGAGTTAGGACTTGTGGTTGAGTGACGGTTTCTCATTTCATTGGGTGGGAATGGTTCTTTAACTTTTTTGCTACTATTATATATAAGTAGAGATATATTTATACCCTCATTTGGTATTATGTCCAAATTTGAATTGCCAAGCTTAAACATAAAATATTCAAAATTTATACATTAAAAAACTTCATAAAATTTAGCTTAAATTGATGATTTAGTTTAAAAGTTGTTCAGGGCTAGTAAATTTATTGATGATTTAGCTGAAGTTGATCTCTTGGATATACCAGTTAAGTTTTATGGTGTAAGTTTGATTGTATGTCATTTTATTTGTAATTGTTTTGTTCTTATATACACTTGTAGTTAAGTGCTTGTATGTTTCATTGAAGTGAACTTAACTCACTCTATTGTGTATTTCGCTTCTAGCGAATTGTTCTGTAAATTAAGTTTTTTTTTGTGAAATTTTGTACTGTATTTTGTTGTAAAATTTAATTCCGCTATCGTAAAAAACCAACATATTCCATCAATTATTTCGAAATAACCTGTACAATAGGTCTTCTCAATTCGGCACTAATTTTTTGAGAAGACCTTTTTTCATCAGTTATTGTAAAATAATCGATGCAAAAAGTCCTACCAGAGCACGATATTTATGCACATAAAGAGTCTTTTGTATTGGTTAAAAAAGTATATTTGCACATTGTGAAAAGTTCTTATATGAATACTTTATATCATGAAATAAGTAGTGAAAGTAAATAAACAAAATAAATGAAGCATTAGATTTTTTTGGTTGCTCAATATCACCACTTTGGACACTTTTTTTGGGTACACCATTCTTTTAGAGGTTTATTTATATCCGGAAAAGAAAAAATAAAAACGAAACACACAAAAATGAATAATTAAAGTACAAGAACTAACCTCCTATTCTTAAGTTTCGAAAGTTTGACTGTCCTTCCTAAAAATGCAGCGAGAAATATTACTTGGTATTTATCTTCATTTTAAGAATTTGTCAATCAAAGACCTCATCAATGTCTAACTCTTTTATAAAATATCTTTGAAAAATGAAAATACCAAAAAAAAAATCTCCCATTAAAGATTGGTGGATTATGTCACAAATTTGGCAGCGTGACACAATTTTTTACACTTTTTTTGGGACACATTTGGCCCATTTTACATCCTATTTTTATGCTTCGCAAGTTTGAATACACACACACTAGAGTTAGTTAATTCCTCCCCAAAAACCCTCCTTGATATAAAGTATTAAAAATAATATTATTCCATATTTATTCTCATCATTTTGAGATCTAATCCTGATTCACAATATCTATAGATTTATGTATACATTTCAGCTCAAGTAATTAAATTGATTTATTCCTTAATCTCTTTCTAATCACAACTTGTGGGAGTTTGTGGAACACTTTAGATTCATCTACTCGAGATAAATGAAGAGTTTCATAAAAGGTAAGTTTTTTTTATATATTTCAGATCTCTGCCCATCTAATTTATTCCTTAGATTCAATCTGGATTGTTGGATGTATGCAGAGTTACTCCACAGGATTAATTCAACTAACATTGTATTAATATATATAGTTTAGTTAAATATTGTGATTTTGAACTGAAAATATTTTTCAGGACAAAGAGAGTAGTTTTGGGGATGGTCATTGTCTTTGTATGTATGAATGTTCATTCAATCAGTGCGAGTGAGGATACAATAAACACATGATGGGTGAGATGGCTGCAGAGGACTTTAATCCTACAGCAAGGTAAGGGAAAATTAATGGTTCAAAGAAAATTATTTTCCAGTCATATTTTTCGCTGCTTGGTAGAAAGGAAAATGTTTTCTTAAAAAAATAGTTTCTATTGTTATTATTTGAAAATTGATATTAACAAAACATGTTTTGAAACAATACTTTAGTACCATAGGGGTCGGCGCAGGGCAGATAGGGG